ATCCATGTATTTTTGAGAGTCGCCCCTCACCATACCACGCCTGTACTGGGTAGGGGTCCACACACACACACACACACCCACCCCCCCCCACACACACACACACACACACACACACACACACACACACACACACACACACACACACCCCACACCCCCCCCCACACACACACACACACAACAGACATATCACCCAGCACTTTTCTGCCTCCTCTTAATGGATGTTTTCCCAAGTTGTGGTGACACCTGACGCCTTTAAGGGTAGTTACTTATGTGGGTTACAGACACAATACAGATTGACATAGTATTGCCTGTAAGGTAATGGTGTGCACCTGTGAGGGGGTAATGGTGTGTGCCTGTGAGGGGGTAATGGTGTACCTGTGAGGGTAATGAATTGTACCTGTGGGGTAATGGTGTACCTTGTAGGGGGGTAATGGTGTACCTGTAGGGGGGTAATGGTGTACCTGTGGGGGGGTAATGGTGTGCCTGTGGGGGGTAATGGTGTGCCTGTGGGGAGTAATGTAGTTGTGCCTGTGGGGGTAATGGGGTGTGCCTGTGGGGGTGGGTGTACCTGTGGGGGTGTGGTGTGCCTGTGGGGAGATGATAGTTGTGCCTGTGGGGGTGTGGATTGTGCCTGTGGGGGTGATAATAGTTATTACCTGTGAGGGGTAATGGTGTACCTGTAGGGGGTAATGGTGTACCTGTAGGGGGTAATGGTGTACCTGTAGGGGGTAAAGGTGTACCTGTAGGGGGTAATGGTGTACCTGTAGGGGGTAATGGTGTACCTGTAGGGGGTAATGGTGTACCTGTATGTATGTGTGTTATCGTTGACGACTTATTAATGGGAAAGTTTGTAATGCAAGGTGGAGATAATAGTAGTAGTATAAATAATAGTAATAATAATAATAACTAACAATAATAATAATAATAACAATAATAATAATAATAATAATAACAATAATAACACCACCACCATCCCACAACAACAACAACAACAACAATAAAAATATTAACAACAACATCAACAACAATAACAATAATAACAACATCAACAAAACAATAACAATAACATCAACAATAACACTAATAATAACACTAATAATAACACACACACCTGGGCTAACTCTCCAAGGTGAGGCTGAGGATAACTTAAATCTTTCTTTACTACATCTCAAGATTTATCTCTCGAGGTGCAACTTCTCTTAAATTTTATGTTATATAATTGTACTACTGTTGTTGTTGTTGTTATTGATGGAGACTTTGTTATTGATGGAGACGTTGTTATTGATGGAGACGTTGTTATTGATGGAGACTTTGTTATTGATGGAGACGTTGTTATTGATGGAGACGTTGTTGTTGTTGTTGTTATTACTGTTGGAGACGATGATGTTGTTGAAAAAAAGAAAGAAAAATGAAAGAGAGAGAGAGAGAGAGAGAGAGAGAGAGAGAGAGAGAGAGAGAGAGAGAGAGAGAGAGTCACTTCTCAGACAATAGCTGAGACAAGTGTTAAGGAAGCCAGTAGTCTCAGCAGTGACCCTGAGACAGCATACACCTTGCCTCACCTCTATCCTCACCTCTATCCTCACCTCTATCCTCACCTCTATCCTCACCTCTATCCTCACCTATATCCTCCTCATCAGGTGTCGTCAGGTGATGGTAGGTGAGGCAATTAAGACGATGAGGAAGAATGAGATGGTAACAAGTGGGGTGTGTGTGTGTGTGTGTGTGTTGTGTGTGTGTGTGTGCGTGTGTGTGTGTGTGTGTGTGTGTGTGTGTGTGTGTGTTTGTTTGTTTACGATGCTTGTTACTCTTGTACTTGTCTTGAGTCATGAGAGTCGTCATTACAGAGTCCATTTACACTGGTCGTCTAGCTAACTGTATTTGTCCTCTTCCCTCCCACTCTTCCCCTCCCACTCCCTGTACTCCCCTTTCTTTCCCTCTCCATTTTCTCCCCCATTCCTTCTCCACTCCCTCTCCTATGTCCCTCTCTCTCTCTAGTGTTATGTGTGAAACCAATACTACGATCACCTGTTCAACAAGTGTGTAAAATCTGTCGCTCACGAATTTTATATCGAAGTAAGAATCTCTCTCTCTCTCTCTTCCATAATAGTGTTAAACTTGAGACACAAAAATAGAGAACTAGAGACAATTTTACTCATACAGAAAGTAATATAAACTGTGGAGGTAGTGGAGGTCGCTGGGTGTGGAGGTGGAGGTCGCTGGGGTGTGGAGGTCGCTGGAGTGTGGAGGTCGCTGGGTGTGGAGGGCGCTGAGGGTGTGGAGGTCGCTGAGGGGTGTGGAGGTCGCTGAGGGGGAGGGGAGGTGTGGAGGTCGCTGAGTGGAGGTCGCTGGGGTGTGGAGGCAGAACCGAGACCTTCCATATATGAGTTTAGTTTCCTGACTCCTGTGTATCAGTTGACTGCCTTCATCTAGTGACTTGAGGAGAGGTTCTGATAGATCCCTCCTTGACTGTTTTGGGACCCACCTCACTAGGACTGGGAACTGAGTTCTCCTGGGGACTCTAGGACCCACTTGGGACCACTAACTGGGACCCACCACTAGGACCCACTACTAGGACCCACTCACTACTACTAGGACCCACTACTACTGGGACCCACTAGGGGGACCCACACTCCTGGGGCCCACTAGGGACTGGGACCCACTAGTACTAGGACCCACTAGACTGGGGTGACCCACTGACTAGGTTACTGGGACCACTAGGACTGGGACCCACTAGTACTAGGACCCACTAGGGACCCACTACTGGGACCCACTAGAGGACCCACTAGGGGACTTAGGACTGGGACCCACTAGGACTGGGACCCACTAGTACTGGGACCCACTAGCTACTAGGGACCCACTAGGACCCACTACTGGGACCCACTAGTACTAGGACCCACTAGTACTAGGACCCACTACTACTAGGACCCACTGGACTGGGACCCACTAGACTAGGACCCACTGGGACTAGGGACTGGGACCCACTAGTACTAGGACCCACTAGTACTGGGACCCACCACCTGGGACTGGGACCCACTAGTACTAGGACCCACTAGGACTGGGACCCACTAGACTGGGACACTAGGACTGGGACCCACTAGGACTGGGACCCACTAGACTGGGACCCACTACTGGGGACTGGGACCCACTAGGACTGGGACCCCACTGGGACCCACCACTGGGACCCACTTAGGGACCCACTAGTACTAGGGACCCACTAGTACTGGGACCCACTAGGACTGGGACCCACTAGTACTGGGACCCACTAGTACTAGGACCCACTAGGAGGGACCCACTAGTACTAGGACCCACTAGTACTAGGACCCACTGGACCCAGTACAGGACTGGTACTGGGACCCACTAGGACTGGGCTAGGACTGGGACCCACTAGTACTACTGGGACCCACTAGGGACCCACTACTGGGACCCACCACTGGGACCCACACTAGGGTACTAGGACCACTAGGACCCACTGGGACCCACTAGTACTAGGACCCACTAGTACAGGACCACTAGTACTAGGACCCACTAGTACTAGGACCCACTAGTACTAGGACCCACTAGACTAGTTACTGGGACCCACCACTGTACTAGGACCCACTAGTACTGGGACCCACTAGGAGGACCACACTGGGACCACACTGGGACCCACTAGGACTAGGACCCTAGGGACCCACTACAGCACTGGGACCCACTAGTACTAGGACCCACTAGTAGGACCCACTAGGGACCCACTAGTTCTGGGACCCACTAGGACCCACTAGCACTGGGGACTAGGGGACTGACCACTAGGACTGGGACCCACTACTGGGACCCACTATACTAGGGACCCACTAGGACCCACTAGTGGGACCCACTAGGACCCACTAGACCCACTAGTATTGGGACCCACTAGGACTAGGACCCACTAGGACTGGGACCCACTAGTACTAGGACCCACTAGTACTAGGACCCATTAGGACTGGGACCCATTAGGCCTGGGGGATTGTCTTAATGAACAGTGTAGCTTAGGGTCTATCAGGGCTAAGACGTGTTTAACCTGCCACTAACACATACTGTACAGTGTACAACAACCTGCCACTAACACATACTCTGCAACAACCTGCCACTACCACATACTCTGCAACAACCTGCCACTACCACATACCCTGCAACAACCTGCCACTAACACATACTCTGCAACAACCTGCCACTACACCTTTTCCCCAACAACCTGCACTACCACATACTCTACAACAACCTGCCACTACCCATCCTCTACAACAACCTGCCACTAACACATACTCTGCAACAACCTGCCACTACCACATACTCTGCAACAACCTGCCACTACCACATAATCTACAACAACCTGCCACTAACACATACTCTGCAACAACCTGCCACTACCACATACTCTGCAACAACCTGCCACTACCACATAATCTACAACAACCTGCCACTAACACATACTCTGCAACAACCTGCCACTAACACATACTCTGCAACAACCTGCCACTAACTCATACTGTCCAACAACAACTCTGGAAACATTTGCTGGAGAATTCTAAATGTTGATCTTGTTACACACAGGTGAGAGAGGTCATGTGATTCAGTAATAAATTTCACACACGACTCAGTAGTAGTCACCAATGGTCGACCAATAGTTAAAATGTATCACACACTTAGTATTAGTTGACACACTAGTGAGGTGAGTGAAAGGAAGGTCACATGGATTATTCGTGGTGGTGGCGTCTCGATGGAAGGTCATCTGTGACTTAATCCTCGAGGTGATCAACATTTCACGCTCCGAGACATCTTTTATTCTCTCTCTCTCTCTCTCTCTCTCTCTCTCTCTCTCTCTCTCTCTCTCTCTCTCTCTCTCTCTCTCTCTCTCTCTCTCTCTGGTCTTACTTGGCTATCTTTCGTTAAATCTTCATGCCTCTCACAACCATTCATTATTCACCCCTACTTGCCACCTGCCCCCCCCCCACACCGTCACAAGAAAGGTTCAGAGTACTCACGTTTGAGCTGATAGGCGGCGGTTGTGGTGGTGAGGAGAGCCAGCATGACTACTGCTGTCCTCACCACCTGCACACTCGCCTGGCTGCCTCGCCCTGTCCTCAGCGTCGACCTCGACTTGTGGTGCCTCAAGTCAGGTGGAGTTAATGACTTGAGGTCGACCTTATCGTCCCTCGCCAGAGATTCCCTTCCATGTGAGGTCACTTTGAGGGAACTAGTTTTGTCATCGCCTCGACGCGACGGATTGTCTGAGGTTGTCGACACTGCTGTGGAGAACTGTGTAGGTGTAGACACAGAAGGAGGTAAAACAGTAGAGAATGTCGCAGGTGAGAGAGAAGCAGATGGTGATGTAGCAAGAGCAGGTGGTGTAGGCGAGAGAGAGAGAGCAGGTGGTGAGAGAGAGGTATCAGGTATAGAGGAGGTGTGTGGAGATGGCGCAGCTGTCCTGGCAGAGGCTCCAGGGAATAAGAAAGTAGGTGAAGGTGTGGCGGTAGGTGGTGTAGGTGCCGTGAGACAGACAGGTGAAGGTGAGGGTGAAGTTTCAGAGAGTAAAGATGAAGACGGAGAAGGTATAGTAGAGCGATGAGACGATGAAGGTGACGATACACCGCGATGTATCCATCCAGCAGTGGTGGTATCCGAGGGTGTGGCCGCAGGATGGGTAAGGGCACTGGGGGCAGATTGTCGGATCGTTCTCTGACGCGGTAGAGAGTCAACGGGTGATCTTGGCTGACTCTGCAAACACACTTGGCACACATCGCAGTGAGTACAACACCAGGCATGATCTACACTCGACACATTACACTGTACAGAGCAGCCCGCGCGTGCTGAGCCGGTCACGTATTGAGCGCACTGAGCATGGCGAGGGGAGCGACACCCGGGTCTGTGGAGATGCTCAAGCTGTTCCAGAAGACGTAATGCTGCGAACTCCAACATTAATGTTTTCTCTTGTGATCATATCCACTTCGTCCATTTTATTGTCGAACTTTTCGTTTCTCAAGTCATTTTCATCCCCTTTTTTTTTCCCTGTTGAGAAACTTTTAATATCAGACTAACAATATAAGAACCTTCCTGTGACGCCCAGACCACACGTTTAGAGGAGCCTTAGGGAACACCTCTTATATGGGCGGCACTGTAGCGTGAGGAATCATTGCTGTGGGAGTGGTGAGGGTCATCCAGTGTACAGCTGCCGGTGCTCTGCTCGGCCCCCTGTCTGTCCTGCAGGAGTAAAAGATCGTGTTACCAAATGTCATAACACCGAACACGGAATATATACTGTATAACATAACATAACATATCATAACATAACAACATAACATAACATAAACTCAAGACTCCAGACACCACGCGTAAAATTTCCTGAGCCACATAATAAGATGCCTCCCAAGAACACCTCAGCTTCTCAGTGTCACCTTCCTCCCTCCTTACACTTGAGAGAGAGAGAGAGAGAGAGAGAGAGAGAGAGAGAGAGGCTGTATAACGTGACTATTGGAGAGGGTAAGACATACATTCATATCGACCGACTTAGCGATGACAAAGGCGGTTCTTGAGTAGTGACTGCAGGAGGAAGACACCGAGAGCACACAACTGGGGTATTGAAGGTGGTGGTGTGGTGGTGTGGCGGTGGTCTGGTGGTGGTATGGTATGGTGGTGTGGTGGTGGTGGTGTGGTATGGTGGTGTGGTGGTATGGTGATGGTGGATGGTGGGTGGTGGTGTGGTGTGTGGTGGTGGTTTTTAATAGGTCCCGTTCTTAAACATTAGGTTAAATTACGATGGGGTATTAGAACAGGTATCTATTATGACTGGTGCCTATTATGACTGGTGTCTATATGACTGGTGCCTATTATGGTGCCTATATGGTGCCTATTAGGACTAGGGTCTATTAACAGCCTATTAGAACTGGTGCCTATTATGACTGGTGCCTATTAGACTAGGGTCATTAGAACAGGTGCCTATTAGAACTGGTGCCTATTATGACTGGTGCCTATTAGGACTAGGGTCTATTAGAACAGGTGCCTAGAATAGAACTGGTGCCTATTAGACTGGGACAGGGGTCTATTAGGACTAGGGTCTATTGGAACAGGGGCCTATTAGGACTGATGCCTATTATGATTGGTGCCTATTAGGACTAGGGTCTATTAGAACAGGGCCTATTAGAACTGGTGCCTATTGGGACTGATGCCTATTATGATTGGTGCCTATTAGGACTCTATTAGAACAGGGGCCTATTATTCGAAACATTATGTATGAACAAATGTGCTACAAGGGGGAGGGCTTATACCGTCAACTAAATAACCCGACTGTAGTTAGCTGCAGAGACGTGGTTATACATATATATGAATATTAACGTGAATCTTACGTGTAGGTGTCCTTGTTACGACAATATGGAGAAATAAAGAGACATATTTTACATTTTTTGGTAGTGGGGGACTGGGGGGGGGGAGGGAGGGGAGAGCCAGATAGAGGAGGAGGCATAGTAAAGAGGGAAGAGGATAAAAGGAGCGATAAAGAGAGAGAGAAAGAGAGAGAGAGAGAGAGAGAGGTTGCAGGCTTCGGTTATCCGGTGCCACCAACAAAAACATAACAGAAGAGGGCCAGGAAGAGTGCCAAAGCTATCCCCAGTAATCCATTTAGCAGAAGCGGGTTGCCCTGGCCTCTGGAATCGCGCCACTTAGGCCCTCAGGGAACATAGTTGGAATGGGAATCAGGGAATCAATTTCGTATGTGGGTAAGACTCCGCGAGGTGAAGGGAGGGTGATGACGTCTGATACTGGTGTGTTGTTATTGTGGAGAGTTATAGCTTTCTTTCTTTCTTTCTTTCTTTCTTTCTTTCTTTCTTTCTTCTTTCTTTCTTTCTTTCTTTCTTTCTTTCTTTCTTTCTTTCTTTCTTTCTTTCTTTCTTTCTTTCTTTCTTTCTTTCTCCTTTCTTTCTTTCTTTCTTTCTTTCTTTCTTTCTTTCTCGCGGGGGGAGAGAAGGTGGTGGGTGATGGTGGAAGTGGATGATAGTGGTGGGTGGAAGTGGGTGACAATTGCCCCCCATATTCACCCAGGATTATGTATGTATGTATGGATGGATGGATGGATGGATGGATGGATGGATGGATGTGATGGATGGATGGATGGATGGTTGGATGGATGGATGGATGGATGGATGGATGGCCGTCGATTAAGAGTTAATTAAGGACAAACTGTGTTGCCAGATAAGGGAACATTTTCCACTTTCTTTTTTATTAAAACTTTTCCCTAAAAAATAAAAAAAAATAAAAAGTATTAAACTGTGGAGAGAGTAGAATAGTTTTAATTAAGCTGACGCAGGTAACAACACAGGTGAGGTCAGGTTATGTCACGTTGTCTATATTAGTGAGTTAAATTATATAGAAACTGTGTTGGATCACTTGATTCGTATTTAAAACAGGAAGCTTGTTATAGTGGTTGTGTGTGTGAGGTTAGGTTAGGTTAGGTTAGGTTAGGTTAGGTTAGGTTGTATTAGTGTTTTGATAATGTGAGTTTTGTTACACACACACACACACACACACACACACATACACACACACACACACACACACACACACACACACACACACACACACACACACACACACACACACACACACACACACACACACACACACACACCCCATGAACAAGAGCCAAGTGAAGTGACCTTTCTGTTTTGTTGGCATATAAATGTATAAATATATTCAAAGGTACAACCAAAGCCTTGAAATTCATCTTGACAGATTATTTGTATACGAAATATTTTAACCTGGAAATTCAATCTTATTTTTGTAATCTTTTTTATTTACATTGTAATGGAAAATTTATTGAAGTGAATGGATGGTTTTGTTGTTTAATGTGTTTTGCTTTCAAGAAGGTTCAGTGCTTGATTGAGTTGTGGTGAATGGTTTGGTGTATGCTTATAAAAAGATCGAGTTTAGTAGATTCGTATAGATTCGTTTGAATATTGTGGGATATAGAGGTTTGTTGATATTCTAAACGAGGATAAAATGGGAATATTCTTTAAAAATGAGTCTTTCTGTAGGTAGAACCAATGTGTGTGTGTGTGTGTGTGTGTGTGTGTGTGATGGATCTGTTCCCCCTTCCCGTGACCCTTGAGGACTGACACAAACATTTCGCCACTGACACTTCCTTTAATTTTAATTTATCTGACGGCGAGGAGGGAGGAGGCTGGAGTGCATGGCTGGCACTGACTCATGACTCAGGGAACAGAGAGAAAAGAAGAGAGAGAAGAGAGAGAGACGCGTTGATTTCAATTGTTTTACTTCATTTTCATCATCTCAAACACTCCTCAATATATGTTCATCTTTGGGGGGTGTAGCCAGGGGTCTGTGAGGTGTAGCGAGGGGCATCGGTGGGAGGGAGGGTGGGGACCTGAGCAACACAGTCTGTCAGGGGAATGGGGGCTGTGCCATTTAGAACGACTCACTCGGACGTCACCTGAAGCTTCCTCATGTATGTATGTATGTATGTGTAACATGTATGTATGTATGTATGTATGTATGTATATGTTATGTTCTGTTCTGTTGTGTGTTATATAAAAAAGTTTTTATACACAAAACAGCTGATTTTAAGTGTCAAGTACAGCTGTAAATGGGAGGAAAAAAACCAGAGCATTGGCAGCACCTCTCTCTCTCTCTCTCTCTCTCTCTCTCTCTCTCTCTCTACTCATCTCTCTCTGCTCTCTCTCTCTCTCTCATCTCTCTCTCCCTCATAAAAAAATCATAACAAATGTAACAGGACATTGGGTATCGCTAATTAATCCTTCGCAAGAGAAACATTTGTCAGATACCTGTGATATTTTTCTTGTCGTCTCAGCCAATACAATCACGTATTAAAAGTAAACATTAATTTAAGTTCATTTTTCAGTGTTTTTTGTTGGAACTTTGTATTAAAAACTTTAAAGGAATTGGAAAATTTTTATGAATTATTTTTTGTGGTTGTGTGAAAGTTTGTTTGTGTTGACGTCACGTGGGATGTCTTCAGTGATTGGTTGATCGAGAACTGACCAAGAACTGACCAAATCGGACCAAGAACTGACCAAATCGGACCAAGAACTGACTAAATCGGACCAAGAACTGACCAAATCGGACCCAAATCGATCAGAACGACCAAATCTGACCAAATCTGACTGAGCCTACAGCCAGGGCCTTTTATTTATAGAGAGTGAGGATTAAAAGTGACCCTGTGTGTGTGTGTATGTTTTGTTAGACTCCTAGGCTTCAAATAGAATAAACAAATAATGCAAATCTAGACGACGAAGTTTACAAAGGCTTTTTACTATCTTACGCGGCATAACCTTGCAACTTGAGACAGCTGACATTTTAACTGTATTGGCGATGTTTTTTTGTAGTGATAAACTTATTGGTTATAACCGTTCTTTTTAACCAGCTGAGTAACGACATGATTCTGTAAATGCCATGACACTAATTGGACTTTTTTTTTAAACGTAATAACATACCTAGAAATGTCTCTTGCAATAACACACCTGTGAAATGTCTCTTGCAATAACACACCTGTGAAATGTCTCTTGCAATAACACACCTGTGAAATGTCCCTTGCAATAACACACCTGTGAAATGTCCCTTGCAATAACACACCTGTGAAATGTCTCTTGCAATAACACACCTGTGAAATGTCTCTTGCAATAACACACCTGTGAAATGTTTCTTGCAATAACACACCTGTGAAATGTCTCTTGCAATAACACACCTGTGAAATGTCTCTTGCAACACCACACCTGAGAACGTTTAACCTCTAACAACACACCTGGTTGGAGCGACAGAGAGAATGTAAACAAACCCCCAGGTAACAGAGATACAATAACACTGTCTAGTATTATTTTTACCATCGGTGCTGCTGACTGTCTCCCCGCACGAGGGTAACCTGATCCCTGCTTCCGCCTTGGGGTTTAATCGCCTGCGCTTCACCCCTTAAAACAAATCATATAACTAGCAAATCTACGGACTTGGCGCACCCTCATTCAACCACTACCTGGTGGTAATGAGCCTTCCTAACCCAACCTTAACCTAACCTGACCTGACCTGACCTGACCTAACCTAACCTAACCTAACCTAACCTAACCTAACCTAACCTAACCTAACCTGACCTAACCTAACCTAACCTAACCTAACCTAACCTAACCTAACCTAACCTAACCTAGATCATAAGCGTTTATTTCCTCAGCAGGTCCA